GTTGATGTGAATTGCCTTGTTATTTTTGACAATAAAAGTTCCAAAAAAAAAAAAAGCGTAAAAGGAAAGTTATTGATTTATTGGTCAATCTATGTCCCTACACTCACCTATGGTCACAAGCTCTGGGTAGTGACCAAAGAATGAAATTAGCTTCGTGCGCTGTCTTTTAGAGACAGGATGAGGAGCTTGGTCATTTTGGATGCTGCTGCTCCTCCACATTGACAGGAACCAGTTGAGGTCGTTCAAACATCTGATTAGATTGCCTTCTAGACATCGCCTAGGGGAAGTATTTCGGGCATGTCCTAACGGGAGGAGAACCCAGGGCAGACTCAGGAGTCACAGGCAAGATTATACTATTAGCTGGCCTGGGAAGGACTCGGTGCCCAGCTGGATCAGAGAAGTCTGAGTTTCTCCGCTTAGACTCCTGCCCCCATGACCCAAACCTGGGTAAGTGGCAGACAATGGATGGATAATTCTATGCAGTGCAACAGGTATTTGATATGTTCATTAAAAAAAAAGTATTTTGAGCAGAGCGTAGATTATTCTGAAAGATAAGTTTACATGCAGTCCATTTATAATCACATCATTACCACATGTTTAGCTATTACCTGGCAACTGTAAAGAAGCCTGTATATTCCACTGTCACACTTATAGTATAGCTTGCATCTTGCACAGATCATAACACTCATTCACAGTAGGTCTGTGTGTTTATGCAGAACTATTGTTAAATGACAAAAACACAGATATACCTAATCCATGTTTGCTTAATCATTTAATCCTTCATTAGCTGTACCTCACTGCTGATTTTAAAGATACTGTACAGCATTTTATGATGAGATGAAGGGGAGCACTGTGACCATCTACCAAATGTTTTCAGCAGATGGATTCTATCCCCCGTGTCTAAATGCCTTATATGAAGTCATGCATAAGTCAATGCATTTCTCTGGCTGCACATCTTACTACAGTCTTTGTTCTTATGATCTCGGTGAAGACATGTCTTTTTCTGTGATGTAATCCTTTTATGGGACTGAAAGGTAGATAAAACATTACATAAAACAGTTTTGGTATGGTAGTTGCACAGGGGGCTCACAGGATGTCTATGTTGGTTTTAAGAAAGAGTGGAAACAGAGGCAAGGTGCAAAGAGGGTGCAATGGCATCTGGATGAGAGCATAGAGCATATGCAGCACATGTGGTCTGGTATAATTTACAGTGTTGTCATGGAGGAGTGGGCTATAAGCAACTGTTTTGCCTAGCAACATTCACGGGAAGGTGGAAGGGGAAAATGAAGTGCTGGCAGGTGGGAAGAATATTTTAATACCATGAGACATCAACAGTTTATGTGTTCCATCAGTAGTTCCAGCCTTTTCTGAACCAAGAAGGCGAATGCCAAATAAAAACTCTCTGGGTTTATGAATTTAGGTGATTTACTGTCATTGCTACAGTATTCGTGAACTGAAATGCATGCTAAATTGCACATTAAACCACTTTTCAATTAGAATACAAACTACAGGTATAGTCTTGCTATAGTTATGCTACAGTGGCCTTAGACACATGGCATCACCTAATCAACTGTGTTGATTATGTCAGAACAAATAAACTACTACTAAATACTAACCAGTTTGAAAGGTACACTGTTCCAAAAAATAGTAATGTCAAAGTATCTTACTGTATATTTTACAGTTTTGTACTGTCTTTCTAGAATATCATTAAATTTACATATGTAGACGGTGATATTACATGTCAAAGGTAAAATAACATAACATCACTGTAAATATAGTAAAACACAATTTATTTATAAATATAAATATATTTTTTTGTACATATGCATATTTAGATTGTTAAAATACATTCAGAAATGTATCATCATTTCACAAATATTTGTCTGTTAAGTGAGAAAATGATCTGTTAAATTCAAATGTAATACTATGGAAAAATATATAAAATGAGAATAATCAATAATTAAAGGAGTACTTGAATTATAATTGTGCTGAAAATGTCATGTCATCTAGGTCTGATTCAATAATTCAGAGGTAACAAGTGAACATATAATTAATAGGAATAAAAACTAATAAAAACATAAAACATTGCACGCTGTGCTAATTATATATTTTAAAAAATAAATGTAGAGGTAGGAATTGCAATTAATATAAATCTCAAAGTATTCCCAACATTCCTGAACAGAAATAGGCCTCTGCACCTGGGGAGAGGGTGTGGCCATGAAAACAATGTGACATGCCATTGGATGTTGGGACACATAATAACATGACGCTAAGCATCGGCCAATGAATGTGAACTAACAACCACAAGGTCGCGGGTATGGCTGCACTGTAGGAAAACATCCTAATATAAAAGTATTTTACTGCATTTTACAGTTTTGTTCTTCTAGGATATCATTAAAGTTACGTAAATAGACTGATTTCACATTTCAAATGTGACACAATTAACATGTTCCTAATTTAATGTTTAAAATCACTTGAAAAGGTAAGATCCCATGTAAAATTAGCGCAACAAACTCTATTTTCATTACTGAAAATAACCGTATTTTCATGAGAAAGTTATTTTCTGTTATTTTACGGTAGTATTTTGGCGCCCCAGCTGCCGGAATATTACCGTTTTTTTAAGATGTTTTTTTAACAGTGTAGAGCACAAGTAAAAACCATGAGAATTAAAAAATAATAACATTTGGTTCTACATAATTTAAATGGCCAAAGTACTACTCCATCAGGATGGCTAATAGTAGCCATTAAGTAAGTTCTGATCTGGATAGGAAAATAATCCTACTAGTTGCAAAAATAAGTGCTACATAAGTGCTACATAGCTACACTGTAAAAAAAAATCCTAAAGAAACAGTAATATTCCGGCAGCTGGGGATCCAAAATAATACCAGAAAATAACAGAAAATAACTTTCTCATAAAAATA